ATTTTGACCCCTGGGTGATAGTACAGGTTTGGTTGTGACTGGTACGGACTAGGATACTATGCTGGCCTCCAGATGTCACCACCGAAATGGTATGTTTTGGCTTACGTACTTCGGATGAAAAGATGCTGAGTCAGTGCTAGGAAGAACCGTGGTTTTATGGTAAAGTAGAATGCAGTTCATTCACCCCCACCAACAATTAAAAATCGAACGTAGGACCACCGGGCAATGAATTTGTGTGAACCGAGAGTTCACGAAAGCAAAGCTTACCTCCCTGGTTCAATTTGCATATGCGGTCGCTGGACACTGGCATGGGCATGAGGTGTCGTCATACCCCTCCCCCTACCTGTGGGTGTTGTGTAAGTTAAGGAACTGGGGGACGACTTCGAACTGAGCGGACATGCACTCGGTTCTACCATTTCGAGTTCACAATGAAGATGGTGCGCGCGTGTGGAACTGTGCCATGTAGCGTCAGCCACCCTCGTTTCCCCAGTAGGCGTTGTGGCTGTTTGTTGGAACAGTGTCAAGCAAGTCCAGGAACGGGTGCGAACACGTGAACCGTATATTCTTTTTCTACTACTAATACTGAAGTCGCAAGGACAAGCCGGCATGCAAGTAAACGTGAACAACCGCATGTCTGATTGTCACACGCGCACACACAAGTAGTGTTTGCCTCACAGTGCACTACCCATGGCCGCTCCACTTGTAGTCACATCCGTGCACTCACTTGACGTAGCAACGTGGGTCCTTTCTGTCTGTTTGACCACTAGACCCACTTCCGTTAGGAGTATTTTAAGCAAACAGCATTATGCCAAACCTCTTTTTATGCTTAGTTCGTGCTACACTACTGTTCTTCGGGTCACTCCTGGAGGCGCGAAAATAGTGTGTCTGTCTGGTTCGTTAGCATATCGACTAATACTTTCTCTCCTTGCTATAGGCTACTATCGCTTGTCTCTTGCCACCCATTCACAAGCTTTTGGCAAGCTTTGCTTTGATTCTTTTGTTCTTAATCATAGTGTCTATGCCTTTGCTCATAGTTTTCTTGCTTCTTCCTTGTTCCTTGTGACTTTGTCTGAAGCGTCCCTTCCACATTACTACTACTGTGTTCTTGCTATTTCGACTTTTAGAGTGGCGGCAACTATGTCCGGATTTGTCTGTCACTGTGGCCTCCATGGGGACAGTCACAGGAGGCTTGTGCCCACAGAGCGACCATGGGTGGCTTGCGCTGCAGCACCCATAGACGGCCGGTGGCCAGGTGGTCTGGACGCCTGGTTTACAGTCCCAAAGTCACCGATTCGAATCCCCGTAGGGGCGGACATCGTCTCGGTATACGCGGTCCACGCACGACTGATGGTGGTCGCGCGGCAACGTAGCGTCGTTAAGACGTACAGTTAACTATATTTTTTACCCCGTTTCCGGTGTAAGCCAGAAGGGGTAAGACCGGAAGCCATGTGGATGGGAGCCACGTTTCAACAACCGAGTCAACCCACCCTCCGCAGCATGAACATCAGCCCCATTCCAGTCTGACTACTACTACTACCACTATCAATTCCACCGATACCGCTACCACTTTAACTACTTAGTAAAACTTCGTAAGTTGGCTACTATTGGGCGTTGTTTAACATATGGGTATTCCTTGCAAAACTTGTTATTCCTTGCTTTCCCATTGCCAGTAGTACAGTATAAAATGTATTTTCGCATACATCCTGTTCCAATACATAATATTAGCCCTTACAGAGTGGCATACAGTTAATTCATACGGCACTATAACAAATCAAAACAGTGTGCTTTCCTCGAACTTAAATCATTTCACTGAAAAAGTCAAACCTTGCTTCCTCCTATCACAGAATTAACTGAATAGGTTAGATAAGAACTGGTTAGACAAGCACCCAAACTCCTGATTGCAACCTTCGTAATGAGTGAGCACATATTCTAAGGAGTTGATGTGATGCGTGCCTGTGTACGTAGACAGTTCAAACAAGTACGGTCATGGTTAATGCGTAGACACGAGGTAAACATCCATGCGCTTAAACGCTGAGGGTAAAGAAAATATGCACATGCACATCCACAGACAGAGGGTATGCGGTCTCGATAAACGTTTACGGAGCTGTAAAGTGCACTGATTGTGGGGAAGGAGAATTTCACATTGCCAAATCCCACCACATACACATCCAATATTTGAACAAACGACTCGTTTGGCGACCATCGTACAGTAAGCCTTCACATGTCAAGTAAATAATGGCTGTTGAGCCCAGGGGATCAGCTTGCAATTTACATAGGTGGTCACTATATACAATCAAACCTGACCATGGCGAGCACTGAAGGGACCAGCAAACAGTGGTCGCTTTGGACAGGTTGTCGCCATGGGCAGGTTCACGCATTACTCATGATGGAATTCGCAGGTTTGATAAACTTTCAAGTGGCGAACTAAATCGGTAAACCGAGGGCTTCTACAATCAATTTTAGCTTCTAATTAAGACAATAACAGCAGTAGTGCATACTATGGGGTACATGTGTAATAAGCATACAATAAAGTTACAGGTTATGAACCGGCATTTTAAAAACTAACCTGCAGCTCATTGAAATCCACAAGCTTGGAAATATCGTACACACACATTTCTATTGTCACAATTAGTTTCCACCAGATGAAAAATAATCAAGTATATTGATCCGTTGCTTGGCAGTTGAAATTAAAGATGGATTTAATTTTTCGCTGCCGTTCATGATAAGTTCATGTATGTCAATGTGTCCGTTAGGTATTGCGTAAGAGCGCAAAATATCAACAGCACCCTGTGCGTCTGTGAATGTGTACGTTTTCAGAACGTCTGTAGAATCCTGTTCCTGCTCGTCGTCTGATTCACTATTCACATCCTCAGCTGCGAAAATTGATGTGGCAGGCAGGTCCCAGTTTATTTCTGTTGTGTTACTGGTTTGGAGATAAGAATCAACCAAATAGCTGTCAGCCAGTTGACATACAAATGATTCTTTTGAAAGAGAATCCCAAACAATAGAGGTTGAAGGAGGTTCAATTTGCTCATATGTCTCAAGTCCAGTTTGCATTGCTCTCTCAATAACTATTTCTGCAGGACAAGGAAACACCGCCTTACAAAAGCACTCAGAAATTGTTGAGTTCTCCACCTCCTTCCGTGCGGCAGCTATCCAGAACACGACGTCCAGTAAATTTACTCGTTTCATGAGTTCAGTTCCGGACATATCTTTGTGGGATTCCATGATCGTAATAAGATGCAGAAGCTGCTTTTTCCTAAACTTCAATTTAAGCGCCTGAATGACACCCTGGTCGAGGGGTTGAACTAACGCAGTGGTGTTGCGTGGCAGGAACTGCAATTTTACATTAACTAGCTGGAATTTGGGATGACAAATGGCATTGTCAATAAACAATATGATGTTGTGCTCTTTTGATCGTTTTTCTGTCGAAAGTTTGAAGCTCATTTTCGATAATAGATGCAATCATCCATGCCATTTTAGTATTCCTGTAAAATACCAATAGTTCGTTCATGTTGATGTTTCTAAGAATTCGAGGATTGGCTGATTTCTCAAACACTAAAGCCGGTTCTCGCTCCCCAACATAATGCTCAGCATAACTGTGATACGGTCCTTGCTTCTTTATCTACCAACGCATTTTCTCTTTTGGCAAAAATTCTTTTACCCGATGTCGCATTGAATAACAAATCAGTTTCATCTAAATTAAAAATGTCTTAAGCTGTGTAGCCAGATATTTCGGGTAATTTTGATGTCCAAACCTAAGGTTGTGTCTACTGAGGAAAGCCTGCAATCAACCGATTGTCGCCTTCAACTTTCGGTTTTACAGTTCTTTTGCGGAGTGCAATGCGTTTAGCTAATGGGATTTTTCTCGCTAGTGCTGACTGGCACCACTTCCAGCAAATTGCGTTTATGTCTTCGGTAGTCGTTTTCTACTATTCTTGCTTTTCATTCTTGGTGCGTTCAAAACCGGCTTTTCTCTTTTCGCTTTCCTACCCCGAAATTTTCCGCCAATTTTTGCAAACTTTCCTTCTTGACTTCTCTGAATAGCCCATAGCAGGCTGCGTGCGTTAATTAAATGGGGGGGGGGTAATGTGTCACTGGACAAGTCTGGTGTGAATTCAGTGTGACCATTGGGATGGGAATAAACCAGTGGTATTGGGGGAATTAGGCCACTTGCACTGGTCAGTTGCGACAGCAGGAGGAGTAACGATAAGGGGGGCACAGAATGCGAGAACTTGAACGATACTGAATCAGTGCAGAGCATATGGTGTGCTTACTAGGGCAATTATGACACCTTGAAACGAAATCTAAGCCATCTGTGCGATACCGTGGCAGACATTCATGACACCTCTACTCGCAATCTTGGCCAGTCGTGCTAGTGGTGGTCGCCTTGAGCAGATGCTATAATGGTCGAAGACCACAAAAACGTGTTCGCGGTTGCCTTAAACAAGTGGACCCGATAGACAAGTAAAGACCAATGGGAAAATATAGGAAAATCGTTGGGGATAGGTTTGGCTTGTCGCCATGGACAGGTGGTCGCCGTGGCAGGCTGGACTGCATTGGTCTGGTTCCATAGGGTTTACATGATGAACTTCTGACCTATGAAAAAATGGTCAAGTTAGAGATGTGGTCAGAATATGGAGGTGGTCTCATTTGGTTTTACTGTATACCTACTTTTACTACTTCTACTGTAAGTACTACTACTATTACTTCCGTTACTACTACTATTGCAACTATCATTAGTACTGCTGTTAGCATCGCCAGTACGTCTGCCCGAAGTACTAAATCCATTTCGATAATACCTGTCGAATGGTTAACACGTATGCTAGCTCTATTCATAGTACTGTTGCTGCTGTTGCTGCTGCATATCGTTCATCATACCACTACCTTGATTCATTGAGCGACATCATTACAAATAACCTATTCACACTGTTAAGTTTTGAGCATGTGGCTAAATTATTAGGTGTGTAGTATGCCACTGATAATAAGGTCTCACTCACCATGATCTAGACCAATGTATCTCTCGGCAATGACCGTCCTTTTCCTTCCTCTTCTTCTCTAGGATAAAGGGTGTCATTTCGTTATATTTAAGTTAGGTAACCGTGAAGACTGCATGGAATGAATATGTATGCTTGATGGCTTAAAACAAGGTCTAAAAGGGCAAACATTAGCGCGTGGATGATTCCATCGTAAAATTAGTCAGAAAAGATTTGTAGAGACGAAGTTAACTGAATGGTGTGTACTTTTTGACGACGGCGATATCGTGTGGCCATCGAAGAAGCAATGCGAAGTCTGCGTAGCCATGGACAATTTAGGGTGCGTCTACAGTAGGGTCCTTTTTACTAAGCATGCAAACCTGGTTGCCCGCGGGCCACATAAGGGTCGTCGGCACCATATCTATGGACCACACAAATGACACTGCAGTTCGATCATGAAAGCCCTATCTTACGGTTTAAGGTATTCCTTGGTTCTCTGAGCTGAGTAATTTAATGGCAAACAATGCACCACTTTCCTCAGTGGCATCTACAGTGCACGGCTGCGTAGAGGGTAACCTCATGTGAGATTATCCTCTACCCAGCCATGCACTGAAGATGCCACCGAGCGAAGTTGTTATGGACATCCACGACCGATGCGTCATGCCACACCCACAAAATACACGCGCCCAATCTCATGACTATGGTGTATTCGCTGATTGGTCTCTGTTTCTCATTGGTTCCTTTTGGCCCCATATGTTTCTCACTTGGATCCGGTTAGGAGCAGAGTACAAATTCACATCTACCATTTGCGTCGGTGCTTTTCCTACGTCTAAACGGACTACAAGTCCATACACGGCTTAGGAGTGCATGCTCGGTACGTAACCGAAGTGATGAGACGTTTGCGATTAAATTACTCAGCTCGGAGAACCAATCAATACCTAAAGTACCAACCGAGCTACAGGTATTTCGACTCATTTTAAATTGCGGTTTTTACGATATGAAGTGGATAACGGTGTGTAGTTCACTGAATGGGCCTGCTGTTCTTTATACAGAATACTGTCAACAAGTAAGAATAGCCTCTCTTATTTTATTCGATATCATACTCTAATAAATAAACACGATTGGAGCTGCTAGGAAATGAAGTTAGAACCTCTGAGAACAGAAATGAGGTTATATTGCTGCAAGCATATCTTGATCACGCCCGCCTCTCTGGGAGTACAATGATTGCCTACTGTGCATGGGACGCTTCATGTAAAGCTCTTGTATTTGTTTGATATTTTGCGACTGACTAATTGCAAGCGAACTAATATCACTTTCCTTCCTTCGTACAGGAAAGTTCGCCACAAAGATTATGTGCAATGTTCGGTTCTACCTGTATCTGAACGGTTACTTCTCTTCACGAAAACAAGAAAGGCTCCTCAGACAACAGGTCTGACTGATCAGTGTTTTTTTATGACGCATCAAAGTCCAAACCACACTGACATATCAGCAGGTACGATACCGTTTCTAATTTGCAGGGTGGTATACGGCCGTATTGTGCCACAATTTTGTCAGATCTATTCCTTGTGCAGCATTCAACCGCTTCGATCACTTTTGCATACGTGAGTTCATTTGAACCAATTATTCACGAAACAAATTGCGACGCGGTTAAGCTCATATTGGCCTTTACCCGGCGAACAATTCATCGGCGTCCGACTAGCCTATATTTACATCTGTGAGCTTATCATCGAAACGGCATAGGGTTAAGTAACAAATAAACAAGGAAGACTTGGAGTAGGCCACTTACCCTTTGACTTGCGCGTAGTCCCCGACTTGTGCCAATGATCATTTCTGGCCAAAGAAAAGAACCAACAGCAGTAACATCGTCATTCGGTCAGCCAACCAGATGAAGTGCCACTGCTTCCCTTACATCATGCTAAAGCTGGAGTAGGTAATTCACTAGTTGAGAAATATAGAAACATGCAATATACTGTTTTGCAGATATAAACAACTGGTACCTGAGTTGGCGTTTTCTATACTCATGCTCCAAGAAATGCAGTCCAATTTTGGAGCAACTAGTGTGTAGCGGACAAGAAATACAAAACCTTTCTATGGCTGTTCGTCTAAACCGATTGATCTGCAAACTGTTCTAATCAGGATTTTCGCGGTAGTAATCGAGAGTGCGAGAAAATTTCATGTCTTCGGTTTATAATGAGGAATAGAAAATGTAATTTAATACAACCAGGCTCTAGATAGCTTATTGTTTACGTGTTGTAATTGTGTACCTTTTAATGAGTGATCACTATCCTCCGTGATGTCATCCGTGGCTAGCTGTTCCACCGAGGTTGCGGATGATTCACTAGATTCCTTGCGCAGAGGTTGGCGTCGTTGAATTCCTTCGGGTAGACCACCATGATCACTCTGGTTTGTGAGTTGCCCTTTCGGTGTCAACGTATGTGTATGGTTTGACGGCTGTCGCATATTGATTTGATCAAATACTGAAACACAGAGTGAAACACGAGGAGGTTGATACGGATAGATAGTGTTCCTCTGTTCACTTTGGTGTCGCCTGCAGTTATAAGATAGAGACGCCTGCTTTGTAGCTTTGGTGTGCCGCCCCCAAACATTACACCCGAAATGAGCTGCCACTTTGCAACAGCTTCAATTTTCAACCTAAGGGGAACACTTACTACTCATCCTTGTCAAGAGTGATTTCAACATACATTGTATAGAAACTCTTGTTACGATATGTAAGAGCTCGTAATTAGCGTCCCGCTCAACAGAAACGTCACTTTGCCCACTAGTTTCAGAACAGGTAACAAACCGTCTGTGCTGGATCCTGTGTTCCCCAACGAAAGACATATGGTTGATGCATTGTTTGTAGGCTTCCTTTTGGATCGCAGGGATCATGCAGTCCGCAGATTCAACTTCATCTGCTGCGCGGAATATAGTAATGAGGACCCTAAGATGATGCGTATCATTACATGCTACGATCGTTTAGCTCAGCTCGTCAGCGTCACAACCTCGTCATTCCTCGCTGTAGACCCCGTCAGCAAATTCATTCACCTGATTTCGAATTCTTCAGAGATAAAAATCTGGAAGAGGCCTAAACCAGTTTCTTTCGCTGGGAGAAGAACTGGAAAATGGATGTTGGTACGCAACGCAACATGAGAAGAGTATAGATCAACTCCGACATCAGATAGGTGAGAAAACTACATAACCCAACGTAACCACTGCGCTCAGAGAAGAAAAGCTGCATACCAGCAGATCATGGCGAAGACTTCCGGTGTTAACAACAGTTTGGTGTACCAGCATGCCAATGGCCTTAGTAAGGTGGGACAGAGAATCCCTACACTCCGGACGGTTGCTTGTCTAACAAGGACAGCTGTAGAAGCAGTAAGCGCTTTGCGCACACAATTTACTCACACATATCAGTGGGTCTGACCATCAAGCGATCTTCCAGTTTTCTTTCTCCTGTCTCCGGGAAGCAGCTACAAATGTTTTAATGCCGAAGTTGTATTGCAAAAGCTGACACCTTTGCACAGCTACAGCTCCTTTGGTTTCGATACCATTCACTCAAATTCACTGGCAACAACAGCAACTCCACTGACAGAACCTTTTGTTCAGTTCTTCCAGCGACCTGAACCGACTCCCTGTGGAAAAATGGAATAATAACCGATTCACGGAAGCAGAAGCTGGACTGGGCCTACAAACTACCGCACAGTATCAATACTTCTTGTACTGTCCTAGGTCATGCAATCCATTACAACCTATACGCTGGTGCGATAGCTGGAAAACTGTGACATAATTATACACGAGCAACACGGTTCCAGTTGACAGCGATCATGCACAACGACTTTAACAATCGCACCGAGTAGCTGGACCGAGTAAAATGATGCTGGAGTGGTCGTCGTTCTGAGCTACTTAGATTTCTCGAAGGTATTCCTTCATCTAGATAATCAGATTCTCATTTCCCAGCTGTAGTATTACATCATCGTTGGCCCTCTCTTCAGCTTGGTCGCTAACATACTTCTTCAACGATAATTGGTTGTCAGAGTCCGGAGTTCCTTAGCACACCCCATACAAGCGAGTGTTGTGTGTTGTAGGGCTCAGTTTTTCTGCCACGATTGTTACTGGTATGCATCATTGACCTTGCACAAATAATCGCTTCAATTTTCCTACCCGTTGCTGACGACATCAAGAGTTGGAGCAGGATTCAGGCGGATGCCGATCAGACTTAACTTCATTTCGACCTCCTCAGTATTTAACCCAAAACCTATTGCAGTTCACTGTAAGTGTAAGGTACTGTCCATAAGACACCAGATTATCTATTCTTACGAGATAGGAGCGCATTTATCACAGCGATCTTCCATCGAACGTGGTCTGGGTATGCTGGATCAAGATAAACCGGGCTGTTCTCGGTAATCCGACAAGACATTGAAAGTTGGTTATCAACACGTAGGACAAATGGACATCTCTATTTCCAGACAGAAGGTCAGTGCAAAGGTTTGCACTCTGTAAAAACAATTCAAGCCTAACAACCATGGCTGAAGCACGACCTCACTGCACTGAACCAACCTCAACGTCGGCCATCCAAGTACGTCATTGGAATGCGCAACCTCTCATACGGGCATAGGCTGAAACGATATCGCCAATAACGAGGCGAGATGACGATGGCCTGCTTGAGTATGTACGACCCACATCTTGTGTGCCGCTACTTACTACAACTCCATGAAACTAGCAGAAAAATACAGCTATCTAGAGTGTCGTAGAAATTGGTTTTCTCTTCCTTGGATCACTCGTAGAACACACTTTTAAAATCGGCAGTTTCTACGCCCACACTGGCAATATTTAAAGTCGATTGGACAACGCACTCATCCACGTAAATTTTGTCACTAAACCCTATATCTCCGTCCTACTCCCGGAAATACCTTGGAACTGTGAAACTCCGCGCAATGCAAGGATATTGCATTAAAACGGTAGTTAATTAGTTGACAGTAAAATTACTAACTACATTTTCTCATTAGTATTTTTCGATAAAACATCAGGCCACTCAAGGAAACTTGTAAAGCAGTGCATTTTAAGCCGTATAAACCCATTGTTCAGACTATACCATTTCTCGGCCAAGTTGTCGTCTTGGGCAACAGAATTAATATGAGGGGGGCATCCAACATGAGTCTACTCAATTAATTTGAGCCGTGCGTACGCCACTTACTCGTGCAGTTGTGTAGGTGTGCGTGTATGGTTCATCGACATAATTGTCCACCACCAACTGGACGAGGTAAGTTACGGACTTTGGTATCCGATGACAACAACCTGCGTTACGCACAGGAGACACTGATAAGTGTCACGAAATCCTGTGCTAGGTTGCAAGGGTAGTGTGTGACTGACGTAACACTGAAACAGCAAATCCCTCATCCTTGCTACTTGGGGATCGTGCCACTGTGCCATCGCGTTGCAACCAGATGACGCAACCAAAAACGCAGACATCTCCAAGTAGCAAGGATGAGGGATTTGCTGTTTCAGTGTTACGTCAGTCACACACTACCCTTGCAACCTAGCACAAGATTTCGTGACACTTATCAGTGTCTCCTGTGCGTAACACAGGTTGTTGTCATCGGATACCGAAGTCCGTAACTTACCTCGTCCAGTTGGTCGTGGACAATTATGTCGATGGGCCATACACGCACACCTACACAACTGCACAAGTAAGTGGCGAACGCACGGCTCAAATTAATTGAGTAGACTCATGTTGGATGCCCCCCTCAGATTAATTCTGTTGCCCAAGACGACAACTTGGCCGAGAAATGGTGTAGAACGAGCGTACCACCAGTGGTTCATATGAACCAGTTGCTCACGTTATTGCGGCGATTGTTGATAAGCTAACCTTTGATGGTCCTCAGCATCACAGTCTTCTCGTTATTGCTACAGGCTGGAAATAGCACGCGATGGTGAATCTATAGGTTCAATCCGCCACTGTCGATTCGGTTTCGCGCAACTCTTCGAAAAACAGCGATGCTTCTTATACTACAGCAGGTTCGTGCTCTCTGTCCTTTCAAAAGTGTTCATTTTCCTTGTATGACTGGTGCACTGTCATGTGACCCCGGGTCCAGTCTACCATTATGGTGTGTCACAGGCGTTGGCACTGTTCCTTGCTGCAACTTTTTCTACCAAACCCCTGGGCCGTAACTACTTATTGGATGCTATCGCAAGACGGAGGCAAATGTAGAGCGTCAGTTGTCTAAGTAAAACTCTTCACTACGAGTAATCAGTTTTGGTGTTCCTAACGATTAGCATGGATTCCATTGGAAGATAATGATGTAAGCCCAGTTCTTACGTAGAAGAGGAACGAAACATAGTAAATGAATCGATGCCTGTAACGGCTGCCCCGTCATTGGCTTAAGTACCTGCTTTGCACTTGTGAGTCCCTCGTCCAGACCAACTCGCATTTACGAGATTGCATCAAAGGGAACAACACGTGATGACTGTTAGAGGATAGACGTTACTTCGATTGTGCTAGAAAGTTGTGTGACTGGAACGTGTACATAACACGGGACAGGAGAGATGGAGAACCGGGCAATCACTGCCAGTGACCGTAATCGCTTGAAAGAGAAACTGTACCATTTCTTAATTTCTTCCATCCTTAACGTAGCCCTCGGTCGTCCATATATGTGTCTTTACTCTAAAACTTGGAGAACAGTGAAGTGTTGGCCGATGACGACATGACCAGGGCGGGAGCCAGCCTCCTTTTCAGTGATTCGGTTCTCACGGAGACCAGTAAGTTGTCGAAGCATGATACCTGTGAAAAGTTTGGGGAAATTAGATATAAGGCTAATCCCTCGACGATTTTCACATAAAGTACGCGGATCCTGCTTGATGATGTACATGACAGTTGACAGTCGCAAGTCTGAAGACACCATTACAGTGTTCCAAATCGTGCGAAATAAAGAAGCGAGTTCACTCAACAAAGGGTTACCTCATCGCATCGACTCCGAAAGTGCCTCCACGATATTGTTCATAGTCTGAACCACGACCCACTTGGGCATTCATGCCACCATCAACAATCACGATGCCAATATTCCTTTCCATACGAAGAAAAGATGAGAGCTGTTTATAGAAATCGTCTCGGATACCCACTGGATTACAGTCAGTATGGGCATAAACGAAGGCGATGGAAAAGTGTTTCGCCTTCGAAAGCTGCTTATTAACTTCAATAGCTGTTTGTAGTCGAACCGCGCTCATGCGGTTGTTCACCTGTGTCCATGCGAGCAGATTACCTTCAGCATGTTTGCTGAGGGCGGTACCAACACAGTATCTTGAGCAATTGACGCAGTATCGCCGGAGACGGGAAGAGTGTAGGCATTGTCGTCAGATTCGGAACCAGGGAGCTGAAGATTTGTAACGACACTGTTATCTTGGATGCGCGTTTCGGAGACACAGCACACATCAATACAAAAAGAGTGAAGCGTGAGAGTCAGTGCTGACGGACCGGATCAGAAACTAAGCAGTTAGGACGGACATTGCTTGTCACAACGAGTAATTGCTTACTAGATGTGTCATTCTGAAGCACCGGTCGCAGCATTGTGAGAGGGCAACAATGCACTGTCTAAACCTCGTTCTACCTAATTCTACCCAACCACGCATGAATTCAATCCTTGTCTTCACCATACGCTTTTATCTTCTCTGTTTATCAAACCTATTTGACAGCTTTTCAAGTTCACCAATCTCAGATTGACACACTTTCACCGAGCCAACATCCTCTGGTTGGTTATAGTGGACTCGTAGCTTCCATACACGTCACCAAATGCGCTGATCGTCCTCCATTTCAGGCAGCGTCGTGCTGCTCACCCCACTATAACCACGGTGGTAGACCAGAACCATTCATAAGAAGAACTCGTGTGAAAATGGCTCATTCCACTCAATTAACCACCTCGGAGTCTACCGGAAGTGGGCGAGCTCGCTTTTGCGTCCTAACTTGTTAGGCACCTTCAATAATGGAGGCTCATACTACCCATGCAATTCTGTTGAGATTGGGCAAAAGTGGCTGATGAACAGATTCTGGCATCGTCAAATAATGTACAATTTGCTTTTTTGCACGTAATCTGCAAACTTTGGCAGCTGCAAATAATTAGATGCAGGCTTACGTTAATGAGAGAATTAATCCTCGGGACGTGGCCTGTTAGCCAAGTTACAGCAAAGTGACGAAATGTTGGAACTTGTTCGGACACAGCCCGGTCTTTGACGAGCATCAGGGTTTTGTAGACTGCTGTTGCCCAGTTCTTGGGGAACAGCCAATCGCCAAGCTCTGCCGTTTTAACTTGATTGGACTATCCAGTTGACCAGTTCCGACATTTTGCTTATGTCCACCGTGGAACCTCATAAAAGCCTAATGAATCCCACTACTGAGTTTCTATACTTTTGAGAGTGAACCATTGTTGCGAAACACAGAAGCAGAATAGCCAACTGCACACCTACCAGAAGACTTAGCTAATGTAAGGCAAAACTTGTGGCTTTTAGCTAGATGTACACGCCTTCTTCCACCTCTAAACTGCTTCCGGCTCCCGATGACCCCACGAGTAGTTTCAGGGGCATGCTGAGTTGCGTACCACCTGCCATTTGAAACGACAACTGGTTGTTTTAGCAATTCTAGTGTGCAGTTCACTTGCCTATGTTGGTCATCCTAGGTCAACTATCGTCGAGTTCCTCTAACTGGTATGGTTTCTACTAGACATGAATATGCCATTAAAAACCATAGTGGGTTTGAAGTAGATATTGTGAAGCGAACACATTAAACTGCGTGCATTTTAGGGATCTCTTTAGCGTTCTTTTCACATTTGATATGCATAAACTTCTTGACCTGTGATCAACTAAATGATTGGGATAGAGATTAGTACGATGGCCGTTTCAAGTTAGGTTTTACCATCAGCTTCTCAAGCAGTGATACACACGAAATATTTTGATATATACTATTGAAAATGATGCTGAACTACTTTCGCATATTAGCTGCGATCAATTGAAACCAGCGTTAAGGTTGCAACATTTAACCCTTCTGTGAACTAACCTACATGGTGGCGGATTACTAATAGCTATTTGAAGCTATTAGTTGATGTGAAGTGGTTGAGCAAGCTGTATAAACTCTGAAAGCCACGACCGCTTTCTTTTATTGCAAGTGCCCTCAAAATTCGTTATAGTCTTGACATTTCTTGTGAAGTATTGTGCACAGGTTGACTCAAGACTTAAATAGATGAATAAGGTGTAATAAATGCTTGCTTTTCATTCTTCATACATCCCAGCCTTCATGTACAGCTGTCAGTAGGAATGAAATCCGATTAATGGATAACCACTGGGCTGAGTGTTTGAATTCAAAGAGCTGTCGACATCAGCAACTGCATTTGTGTACCCGCAATCCGCGTGTGCTCAGATGTGAACTGTTGGTCTTAGAATGAATGGTAGTTTATGTATGCCGGATATGTTTCACGCACAGAAAACAGAAGAGCATACTAACAATCGATTCACCTGGGTCGTCCAGATAGCTCAAGAATCGGAAGAAAAGTTAAGCGCTATTGGGTACATTCGATAGACAAGTTATGGACAGAACTTGACACTGGTGCTTCCAAGCAATATGACTTACCGGGATTCAGCTTGTTTGTTATTCCAGAAGTCATTAAAGCGAAGGTTTCGTGGACCACATCGTCTGCTAACGCTGTATATGAAGCTCTGGCGTTTACAGCAAGTACACACAAAATCGATTACTAAGCAAACACTTGAAAGTCTGCGGTACAAGTTATACCGTTCCAGACGGTGAAATGTGTGCGACATGTGGTATCCGGGTTCATGTCACGTGAAGGAATGTATACATTGGGTTGTACAACCTGCAGAGCAATCACTGCCACACATTAATGTTAGTACGCTAGGTTACAATGTAACGGTGATTATCCGACATTCCAATACTCCCTTTTTTACATGTGTCTTCTGCAGATCATTAGCAATACGGCCTTCGGATCGACTGAAGTCACATGCGCCATGTATACAGTTTGTCAACTGAAGTTTATAAGGTCTTACAATAACTCCTCTCTGTCACCGTCGATTGGTGCACTTATTTCGCTGAGTCGTATATCCCAGATGTGTGAGTGGATATTTATTGAGAACCAGAAAATAGTTAGTCAGTTGGTATTCCGATCATCAGAGCATTCAAGTACTAAAGTGGTGAAATGTCTTCACACATTCATTCGGTTGTCTACCAAATATCTTTCATTTGTTACTGACGTCTCATTATTTCAGCAAAAATCACGATACCAACTGTGGTTGATGTATGCACCTAATAAGAATAACATCATCACCGATACGGGGGTTGACCTGGTCCATGTTATAACTGGCTAACTCAGCCTAAATGTACCTAAGTGGTCCAAACTAATATGGTAGTATTCTTGACACTTACACCGGAATAATGTCGGAACTGGATGCGCGCGATTCGGTTGTTCGTAAGTTGGGTACTCCTCAGAAGCCGTCAAATAGACAACTGACTGCCGGGGAGTCATATTTGTGGCTGGTGGAGATGAAGCAAACAGTGTGCGCATTGAAACAGCCCAGGATGGAACAGGCTAGAGTTTGATCATGGTCTTCTGTTCTTCTGGTACGCAGGCTCTCCGGGACTAGAGTTTCGTGAATACCTAAAAGATGCCTCTTTTACAGGCTAAGCATATTCCATTATGGTATGTGTTGTATCCATATCAACTGCGTTTTCTCGTGACATGGATGTCTTGCCACGTGGAGTAAGAATCCAATAGGCAGCATGTTTGTTTACAGAGTGTGAATAAACTCAAAAACTATAGTGATTTCTACTTACCTTTTCTCCGATCGTAATCCATTGAATTTGCGCTGGGTATGAAGTGTGTGACTAGTGACGTTCAAAGTGCTTTTGGTCCTCCAGTGGATTCGCGCATCATACAGCTGTTCCTGGTCAGGGTGACGCTCACTAGCGCGTGATAGCTAGCTGATTGTGACGGTGCGTTGTTGAGAATTGAACACACCGTGCCCCTTATTGCTTGCATTCTCAACTCATAGTTAACAGTCTTACAAATCCCCATTCCATAACTCATGGTTGCATGGTGGCGATGTATTTGTCTAATGATATAATCTGCTCATCGGTGGGTTGTTTTGAAATGCTTCTTATGTAGATGGATTGCGACGCACAGTCTCAGTATGGACCGCAATTCAAAGGGAAATGAACCCTGGTTAGTTCGGCAACTGGGACCAAAACTAAGTAGTTCGAAATGACCCACCAGTCAGTTATTAACCGTTAGAATAAATCTTGCCCACCGTGACCCGGTCGCCAAAGATGTAGAGCTTTAATCTAACATCACTATTACCCAGAGTTCGACGTCTGCTATTTATATCTGATGACAACAGATAACATTGCAATGCGTCGCGGAATACAACGTTTTCGGACAGATAACGCCCAATCTTGATCTGCTTCAACTGCGGTCCTCGTGATCGAATAACCAACGCTCACTTCATTGCGATTCGCGGTCCACGTTAAGATTGTGCGTCGAAATCTATCTAAAATACGTGTACTTAAAATGATTATCTAATTAGTCATTTACCGTTGTGCTAAGCCTTGACCGTCGTCATTGGATGGCTTACGGATAGCGGTCACAACTAACATCCTAATAACCCCGGCTTCGACGTATGCTATCGCTATCTGACGAGAACAAATATGTTGGAAACCGGTCGTAGAGTGCAGTGTTTTCGAGCGGGCACAACCCGATTTCCATCTGCTATATAAGGTGTACTACGTTTGATGACGATACTTATCTTGAGAACTGTTTTCCAAGCATTAATGAAGTATAGTGATCAACGGACGCGACTTATTATAGCATAACCGAACCAAGTGACAAGAGATTCGGGTTGCTCAGCTGAAAATACCGAAGTGATGATCAAAGCTACCTGTGCGTATTTGTAGCCGGTAACCCCTTTAATAAAGCGCTTTCATTCATTAAAAGGAGATTAAATTGTACATTTGTAGACGACTTCAGCGCTCGGGTTCTTGAATGCGCAACAGTTTAACTGCAAAAGGTCATGCCTGTAACCTATTAGGGATTCTAGCAACCTCAACCATGCTGGTGCAAAACACGCTCCCGATGGTTTATGATTTTTCGAGGTGAGTACGTACAAGTTTGCGGTAAAACAAGCACAAATTCGTGTGTATTAGAAGAGCAATCCAAGAGTACTCACTGACATCGCAGACACTCACGTCCTTTGGCAAATCTCATGCATGTTTGTACCGACCAGCGAGTACTCTTACCAACGATCGTCAGTCACATGAATTTGTGTGATTTCATTCAAATAACTGCGCAAGCACTAAATGAGGTTGAAGTGGGAATTTTCCCGGAAGGCTGCGAACTGCAGGCAAGATCCATCAGCACGCACCACGAGAACTGGTTAATATACAGTGAACAAAGATTTAGCACAGGTTAAAAAGCGGGTGCTTGATAAGTCCCGTAGTATTGTTAGGGTGAAAACTACAAAATCAAAAGGTGTGACCCAACTGTTTATGCGTCTACCGAGTTAAATACGTCTTCCTAAATAACAATAACGCAAAATGCAAATTGAATGCAAGCATACAGAACACCGTGGGGCGTAGTGCTCGTTGGAGTAAAGCATGAGAAAATAATAACAAGGTCGCTCACATATGTACCGCCTACGTGGGTCTAGCTGACACACAAATCCTCTAAAACGGCATAATGGATGTAACCCACCATAATGCAACGCAACTAACGAAGTACTGGGAGCTAATAGCAATGCCCAATCGTTTTTCGAAAATGTTCAAAGTATGGAGAAGAACAACTGAGTTTGGGAGAGTTCCAGTGTTGGTAAAGTCGAATAAAAATATCATTCCGTCGGCATCCTGGACGACTGTAATGTTCACTCAGTTTCATGCAGCTACCGAATGAACATAACAACCGTTTAGAGTATCGACGGCATAACTTTTCTCTTTGAGTTTACCAATCATGGTACTCTATCCCAAACTCAGCTTTCTCCACATCTAATTTCGTTCGACTCCTTCTCCGATAATGGTTTCATTTAGTTTAAAGTCTAGTGTGTGAGTCTGACATGCGAAGTTTAAATGGATGTTAGAAAATTTTGGTCGCTTTGAGGCTTGCCAATCTACGGCAAACAGATGATTCCCCAACTGCCTTCGCGGCAATGGTAAAAGCATTACAGTGTTTGCTCCATCGTACGCCAAATCGCACTCTAACCGAATACGTTAATGTCTGTGGTTGGCTTACTTATCTGCTAGCTCACGTCACAAACTGTATGCGCATGATCGCATTCGACCATCTGAGCTACCGTTTTTGAGCAACCGAACTCAGCTTAACTAGTATTTGATGGGGGTATGCCTGCAGAATTGAAAGTGAGTGCACTCAAGATCAACGTTATAGAGCAACGCAGATTTTCCCTCAACTCTTGTTTAGTAAACGGCTGCAACACGCAAGAAGTGGCTGGGCTGAGTCAACTGCTTGCAGTGTTTAGTAGTGGGTGCCACCAGGTCTCTTACGGTCTCCGAACATATCGGACACCGAAGTCTTCGGAATCCTCGGCTGGACGCGTATTACGGAGTGGCTTTGTCCACAGCGCCGTGTTCGATTCGATTTCAAATCTTCTGGCTCTTACTCTAACCATACACAAGTTGTGCGTGACATCAATACGGCCCAACTTTTCTCAGTTGGCTCTTCTACCAGCAAGTAAACCAGGGTTTCCGACATCACGACTTTTAAATTGCGGTCTTTGCTACTGCATACTCGAGTCCAATTGAATCAGGGCTATAGCTGATCGGCAAACAATGTCTTATCCGTGAGTTCGCTCTTTGTATTATTTTCTCTGCAGCTACTAAAATTTGTTGTTCTTGTTGCTGGTTTCTAAATACTCAGGGGTTTACTTTTAACGACAAATGTGATGAATGCAGTTTTGATACCTCAGTCAAGAAGGGAATACAGCGTGACGGGTGTTTATTATGGCATCATTACAATTGATTTAGGTTAGAGCAGGTCTCGATTGATCTGTCCGACCGTCATTCTTAATTAAAGTGGAGCTGTTTCTACCGTGTAAGCCTGGTTTACACTTTTGCTAGCTTAATACGCGATGTGTTTTTAAAATACAACTCTTGACCCGCCTGATGTGTAGAGTGTTTCTGACATGACGTATCTCCACAGGCTCTCCATAGCAGAAAAATTGATCAGTGACCAGCGTTCGCTCATAGATACATTGCGTGCGAAGGTACACCAATTGCCTTGTTTAGAGAGCTATGATCGGACTGCGGAAATTGCCGTGGGCAGGCAAAGAAATGTTCTCATCTATAATCATGAGCGGCCGGTGATACGCGCAGCAAAGACTCGACGAGACTTGGTTAGGAGACGAATACAAGATATGCTTCGAATAGCCGGGATACCTTTACTTGTTTGTATAATAAGAGTGCATCGTATTGGTAGCTGCTCCGAGACTGATGGGCTGTGTCAGCAAGAATTGGTCAGGCCTATTCTGGTTGAGTTTAGGAACGCTGTTCACCGGGACCAACTGCTTAACAGGACCGGTGGCGAGTCAGACCAATAGCCGGTATCAGGTGGTATCAGACAAACTTAACTGACAAGCTAAGGTCCTACGGATAAGTCAGTCAGAAGATACTACTAATAACTTTGGTATCGAATCTACGACACTGGTTAATGGAGCATATTTACCTGAGCCTCGCACTGCACTATTG